TGGTGGCAGTGAAAAAAGGGAGAAAAAGTGACATAAGGAAGATAGGTTAGCATTTGTTAACAAAAGATATATGCAGACTGATTTTTTAATTATCCTGGACCAAAGCCAGGAGATGGATGATGAAGATGGGCAAGGGATAGGGAGACTTAGTGGAGGATATTCTGAGTGACCAGGGAGGATAGGCTAGGCATTAAGCCTCAGCAGGTGCTTTCCTTCCCCTATTGCAGGGGTCCTCAACCTACAGCCCGCGGGCCACATGCAAATACAAATATTGTATTTGTTCCCGTTTTGTTTTTTTACTTCAAAATAAGATAGGTGCAGTGTGCACAGGAATTTGTTCATAGTTTTTTTTAAACTACGGTCTGAGGGACAGGGAACTGGCCCCCTGTTTAAAAAGTTTGAGGACCCCTGCCCTATTGTCTGGGTTAACCTCGTTTCTGTGCTCCATAACCCCGGGATATGTTCAGACACTGGAGGCCTTGTATGAGCAGGTTCCATGACCAAAGTTGGCCACATTATATTATTCTCATACAAAGAAGTTTAGCGGTAAGGTATCAGGAGAGGAAGCCTTAGTATTAATTGACCCCTCTAGTTATGATGTTCATGTTGTAAAATCATAGCTGAAAGACAGGGCCTTCTCTGAGAGGGGCACATAGGCTGCCATATCAGGTGTGGCGTAGGACACAGGCCCTTCATGAACCCACCGGCATTGTTTTGTGCAGCCTGAGTTCCGGGCAGTATAGAAAAGCCCTGTTGTCTGTGGGTTTGGTCTCTTCTTCTCACAACCTTGGAAATGTTATCACCCTCCTTAAAGGCCATTCTGATCGCCAGGCATCGCAGTTCATCATCTCCTTAACTCAGGCGAAACCTCAAAGCTGGACTCATTTCTGATCTCTTTTCATAAAGATTAATAGGCGTGCAATTTTTTAGCTTCTCTTTTTTTCTTTCTATGTCTGGAAAGTTGTGATAACAAAAACAACAGTGGCTACAGGCTTGTTTGAAGTAAATTATTTTAAATGAGCAAAGAAGACCAAGCACCTGAGAAGAAAATGGCTCAGGAATTGGAAGGAAAGCAGTATGCCCTGCTCCAGTTGGTTGGTATTTGGCTCTTTTATTTTTCTCCTGAGTGCCATAAGTGCCGTTGAGCTCAGAGGACTCGAGCATCCTGTGCGGGAAATAGATGGTGTGTGGAGGAGGTGAGGGGCGCCCGCAGTTGTTCTCCGAACCCTTCAGCAAGCTTCCCTTGGCTACGTTATAGAAACCGTCAAAGGCTGGAAAACAAGCTCCACTTGGCCAGCTGCCAGCACACTCCACAAAGCTCAGGAAAAGCTCATGAAGCCACGCACATTTTGTTTTCCTGAGCAAAGACCCTGCTTGTTGCTGTCAGGGTTAAGGAGTTTCAGCAAGTGTATATACAGACAATAAAACGTGCTTTTTGGTATTTTCCTCCGTCACTGAAAAGAGCCCAGAGATAGAATCAGAAAGGATGGGGCACTTAGATGCCAAATGGACCCATAAGCTCCTGGAGAGGTGTTGGTGCAGTGACAAAATTGTGGGGCGCGCGTGTGTGTGCACGTGCACACGTGCGTGTAAAATCTTACCTGAAACTTGACGAAACTAAGCTCAGAAGCGTGGAGGTGTGCATTTCAGGATTCCCTACTTTGACTAAATAGGACAGAATGAACACCATCTTCATCCCTATGAGGAAATGGCTTGGTCATGAGGACAATATAAACACCGTGTCAGTTGTGATGTGTGGAGAGGCAGGAAGGTAAGGGGGAAGTGACAGCAGTGTCAGGACTATCAACAGCTACAGCGTTTCTCTTTTCCCAAAAGAAAAAAATAATTTTCAGGAGAGAAGTAAAGCATTTGCTGTTTCTTTGTGAGGGTGATTTGGCTGCTCATTGGAGCAAAAAGGCCATTTATGACCTGACCGGGCCTTTCTTTGGCCTGACATGCCATGTTGTGTTTATTTCAGAGCTGGAGAGTCACACTGAGTGGATAGCAACAGGAAACAAACCCAGAGTCATTGCAATTTGCATTTGCTAGTGCAGTTTTTCTTCAGTTGCTGAACTTTGTTTCTTTTCTAGGGAAAAAGCACACCTATTTTTAGCTCTCGTCTGCTTCTCCAAAAGAAACTGACTACTATCCTTCAGACATTCTACCTTGCTGAAAAGCTTGTAATTTTCTCATTCATAATTAATGTTTTCCTGTACTGTCATTTTCCTTAAATTTTAGCCAAAAAAGTGTATATAATTATAGTAAATGGAGATACTAGAATATTGTCTACCAGACAAGTATTTAACAATGCTCTTAGGTGTAGAATAAGAGCATATTTCTCTTTCTATATTCCAGGTTTTCACTTTTATTCTAGTAGGACTAGAAATCAGACTTTCTTTTTAAATATCTGATTGCAATTAAGAATCAACTGATCAAATATGTGTGAGAATAGATTTAGAAATGAGTTTAAAAATTATCCTGATGCTAATGGAGAAATCTGTGATGATTCCTCTTTTAAAGACCTTCAAAAAAAGAAAACCCAACAGCCATGTTTAACTTGAGCTGTCACTTGGTATCTAACAAGGGAAAAGGTAGAACAAGTACATTTTAGATTATCTCACTAGAAAGAGAAATCTGCTCAAATTCCATGGCTAAGATTGTGACCACTTAACACAGGATAGCATGATTCAAGGTGCCTACACAATATACATGGTTCCTCTTGGGAACCATGCATGTGTATAAAGAAGTTTAAATCAGTTGCTTGAATGGAGTGACAAAGTGGTCCTGCTTCAGCCTGAGGAAACAGCGCCACCTGCTGCTTGAGCTTTAGTTTATAGTTGAGCATTCTTTAATAGAAACTGATCTTTACAGACCTAATCACAAAATGTTGGTCTATTGTTATCTTTTAAGATTTACATTGGAGTCAATTTATTGAAATATTTGTTTGTTTTTTTTTTTTGTGTGTGTGTGTGTGTGCATGTTTTAGTGTATACATTCATATTGAGAACAATTATTAAATAAAAGAACGGGAGAGAATAGGAGAGAAAAGAATAGAAATATGAAAAAAATGGGAATATAGAGTATTCCTTCTTGGTGTCTTTTATTCTGAAACTAAGTGATGTTGTCCATTTGCTTTTTTTAAATATATTTTATTGATTCTCCACAGAGAGGAAGGGAGAGGGACAGAGAGCCAGAAACATCAATGAGAGAGAAACATCGATCAGCTGCCTCCTTCACACTCCCGACTGGGGATGTGCCCGCAACCGAGGTACATGCCCTTGACCGGAATCGAACCCGGGACCCTTCAGTCCGCAGGCTGACACTCTATCCACTGAGCCAAACCGGCCAGGGCCCATTTGCTTTTTTATGTGTAGTAATCACATAAGAATCAATAGATAACCAAGCTTGTTTAAATTGAACCATTTTTCATATTTTATCCTAGTCTGCCCAAAAGTGAGTCCTTTATTAAATGATTACAGATTTATTAGGCTTTCATTGAGTTCCCCTTTCTCTAGTGTTTTTATTCAGAGCATAACACTTGATTGTACAATATTTTAAATAACTCCCAATGTTCCTAATGTATTTTTGTCATAGCATCACATAAGCATTTACAAGAGCATATCTTTTTATTAAGTTGAGGTCATTCATTACCCTTCCAACCATTTTGGTTTATTTCATTTAGTGTATTATACCACAACATAAATAAGTGACAGTAGACATGGAACAATAGTGATTTTTTTAAATAGTGGTTATGATTTTTTTCTCATTCCCTATAACTCTCCCAAGATCTTAACTGCTACTGACCACTGACATTAATTATAGTGAAACTTACACTTCCATGCTGAGAATCTGTATCATTTCAGATCCTGATTCATAATGAATTTTCAACATACACTCATTTCTTTAAATCTGTCATACTATATATAAATATATATATATATATGTAAAATTTATTTCAGAGAGGAAGGGAAAGAAAGATAAAAACATCAATGATGAGAGAGAATCATTGATTGGCTGCCTCCTGCACATCCCCTACTGGGGGGATTTATCCCAAAACCTGGGCATGTGCCCTTGGCCGGAATCAAACCTGGGACCCTTAAGTCCCCACGTCGGCGCTCTATCCACTGAGCCAAACCAGCCAAGGCAATTTATTTATATTTTAATAGGATGTCACACAACCCAGAATTTGTCATTTTTGATATTTGTTAGGGCTTTGATTTTCTAACACATTGAAAATCATATCTATGTCACATGCCAAAGTCATAATTTTATAATTGAAACGCATTCAAAATCTAGGCACATGAAAAGTACAGAGAGTTCCAGTTTTGTATCTTGGTTTGAAGAGCAATCTGCTCAAATTCCAAAAACTGTCAAAAACGTGATTTTCTCATGCTTGTCCTTATCTTGAAAGGCTTTTGTTATATGTTTTTTAACATTCAATGAAAACTGATTGAATACCTGTCATATGTTAGACACTATAGTAAGTTCTGGAGGTTTAGTAATTAAAAAATCAATCCCTTGTCCTCAGTGAGCTCCCTTTCTTGCTGAGCAATAGTGCATAGATAGTTCTAGAACAGTGACAGAAAGTTACTATGGGCAGGAAAAGAAGTGGAACTCAACTCAAACTTTGGTAAGTGGATTATGTGACTTATGCTAGTTAGGGGGGAATCCTGTAAGAGAGAAATCCTGAATTGAGCCTAGAGGTAAACTAAAGTGTTTGTCAGGAAGGGAAGGAGAGGAAAGGTGTTCCATGTAGAGACAAGATTTGCAGAGACACTGAGAAGAAAGAGGACAAGTATTAGGAAACGTGTTGTTCAGTTCACCAAGACTGTTCACCCGGTGTTCAGAGGAGATATTTCAATTGGAGATCTTCAAACCTAAGCTTTGTGAATCTTTAGTAATATGTATAACTTGACTGAGAAAAACAACAAATGGGCTCTATCTTGCAAGGCCTTCCATCACTTATCCCACTGTTTTTATACCCCTTTCTCCCCTCCCAGAGGACTGGTATGAACAGTTGTACCCCCTCATCCTCACCCTGAAGGACTGCATGGGGGAAGTGGTGAACCGAGCCAAGCAATCCCTGACCTTCGTACTCCTTCAGGAACTGGCCTACAGCTTGCCCCAGTGTCTGATGCTGACTCTGAGAAGGGACATCGTCTTCAGCCAAGCAGTAGGTGCCCCTTGTGTTGTGAGCACAGCACCATGCTGGGTTGTTCGCTGCTATCATTGGTGAAGACAGGGGTCTCCCCTCGGCAGTTTTATTTTTAAAGGGATTCTTTCCTGATAGTTTTGGTACCCAGTTTTTCTTATTCATAACTAGAGACCTGGTGCACAAATCTGTGCACCGGTGTGGTCCCTCGGCCTGACCTGCACCCTCTTGCAATCCAGGACCCCTCAGGGGATGTCGGAGAGCTGGTTTCGGCCTGATCCCTGCAGGCCAGGTCAAGGGACCCAACCAGTGCACGAATTCGTGCGCCA